AATACATATGTATTCTGAAAGAATTGAGTATCATTATTGCTATATACCTTTTCTGTCTAATGATATTCTGAAGTCTACTTTGTCTGATAGTAAGTCTCATGTTTGCATTTGTATAGTATATCTTTCATTCTATTTCAATTTTAATCCATCCATTTGTTTGTATTTAAATGGGGTTTCTTATAGACGTAAGGATGCATATTAATTTTAAAAGTTGAATACCTATCACTTAAGAATATTTAGACACCAAATAAGGCAGTGTCTACTTTTATGAAGCAAAAACTACAGGAGAAAGCCCTAATAATGTGTAAGGTTAATAAACCATATTACAAAACATATTATGTGGACAAAACCAAGCAAGGAGAGTGATCTAAACCACATAATAAAATGTATTTTTTGGATCTATTTTGAATTTCCTTATAGTAGCAAATAATCAATGATAGCATGGACATAATATCAATTAACACTTGAATCTAAAGAAAATAATGATAATTTTCATAAAGTAAAAGAGTTACAAGTAATACTCTAATCAAAATGTAATAAAAGTTGATATTATTAACAAAACAAAAAATAGAAAAGGTTCTTTGACCCATAATGAAGAAAGCTTTCTGCTAAATAACTCTGAGATGTAAGAGAAAATATAAATTGGCACTACAGAACTAAAAAACAAAATAATTATACTGAAAACTCTATAAAAATTCAGGATATAATGGATACACTTACAAAGGATAACTCGATGTATAATCTACTTTTATTGTTAAAGATGAAAGATAGGCAATAAATAAAACATTCAGTTAAGAAACTAGGAGAAAAAAATCTAAAATAAACCAAAAAAATGAACATGAAGAAAATAAAATTTTAAAAATTTAAAAGCAAAGAATAGTAAAATAGACCTAATTAGTAAATGAAAATCAGTGGAGATGTTTATCTTGCAAATTATCAATCTAGTGAAATCAATAACTAAATAAAGACAAATAGAAAGTAGAATTTGTACAAAACAAAAAGTAACAAGAGAAAAGAAATTCAAAGTAAAAATTTAAGATATTTCTTTTCATGACTTTACTTATGTATTTATATACATTTGAAAACCTACATGAAATGAATGGCTTGTTTTTAAAATCCAGATTACTAAAAATAAGCCCATTTGATTTACAAAACGTAAGCAGACCAGTTTCCATAAAAGGAACAAAGAAAGTTTTAAGAATTTATTGCATATAAAAAATGTCAGGCCCAGATAGTTTTCCAGATAAATTCTATAAACCTTCAAATAACACATTGTCTTAGCATTCTATGAATTATTCCTGAGCAATGAAAAGGAAGGAAAATTCCCCACCTTCCTTGACAAAGCAAGTATAACATGGATACCTAAATCAGATAATGGCGATATTAAGAAACTCAACTACAGAACAGTATCGCCTGTGAATTTAAAACCAAAATACTAAACAAAATATTAGTGAGCAAGCCAAGTGCAAGGCTGCACACGTGTAAACCTAGCACTCTGGGTGACTGAGGCAGGAGGATCTCAAGTTCAAGCCCAGACTGAGTAATTTAGCAGGTTAATGAGACTCTGCCTCAGATTAAAAATATGAAAGGCTAGGGATTTAGCTCAGTGTGATGGCCTTGGAAGTAATACCCAGTACTACACATAAAGTTAAATTAAATATTAGTAAACAGTTTCCAATATCATCTTATGAAAATAATACACCCTGACTGTGAAATTTTTCTAAGCATGTAAAGTCAATTCAATTTTAATAATAGAATAGCAATTAAAACACTATATTAATACCATGAATGTCACAAGAGTAGTTAGTTCTATAACCTTCTCAGCACACAGTATCATGGGGTTTGTGGTGCTAATGTCTTGTCACTGGTGAATCTCAACTGTGATCAACCAGTTAAATTGTCTGCAACTTTCTGCACTATAAAGTAATGATTTGTCCTGCTGTACTTCATAAATACCTTGGAGAAGATACCTTGTTTAATTTTGCTATGAAAGTGAAAGTGTTCTTAATAAACTCTCTTTAAAAATGAATGAACGAATGAATGACTTAGCAAAATTTTTTTTTCCTGGTTTTAAATTGCGGCTGGAACATCGGCTTTGCTTTGGTCTCGAGCCTACCAAGTTTCTTGCTGAAATTGGACCATTAGTTCTCTTGGACGCCCAGCTTGCAAAAGTGCTCTGCATACTTGGGGCTTTGCAAGGTCCCACAAGGTTCCATGTGAGCCAATCCCTTAGAGCAAATCTCTTTATCAATCCTGTCTTTCTCTGTCTGTTCATCCATCCATCCATCCATCCATCATCTATTCTTTCCAAAAATGCAGAATCTTGATCTGATCATGATATGGTATCAGCGTACCCAAACTGAAAAACATTCTAAAGACAACTCGTCATCGTCTGCAAAGTTGAGGAAACATCACAGACTGTGGGTAAGGTGATAGGACATGAAATGCAATGTGACACCCTGCATGGGAGTCACATACAAATGACAGAAAGCCAGAAAACGGCACCTTTTGGATAACTTCTGAAGTTACTAGTATTGACCCAGTTTTAATTTTCTGGTTTTGACAATTTGATCTGATTATGTGACATGTGGCATGAAACGATGCTTGGCTGAAGGCTACATGGTAAGTTTTGGTACTATTATTACAAAGGTTCTGCATGTCTAAAATCACTTCTAAACAAGCCATAAAAAATAGAAATAAAAAGGCTACCAAAAATACCTGCCCTATGAGTGATGCTGTCATTCTGATAAGAAAAACAGGTAATAGAGAATAAATTGAATAATATAAATTTTCTATAAGGGAACCTTGGCTCCCAAGAAATATGGTGTAAGCACGGGCAGTGCACACCCCTAAGCCTTCTCTGTGTGAAGGCACAAGCTTCACTTTCTGCTCTACTCAAGGTTGCTTTCTCACTAGACCTGTTGCTACGGCTCTTTTATGGACCCCTGCTGAGATGTCCATGTTGATATGAGAATATATGGAAGCCTTTTCTGTTTGAATCCAGGGACAAAGACATTGTCCCTGACCCCTACCCCCACCCCCATCTCTTTCAGTTTCCTTTGATGGAGCTGCCTCTGAAGCACTTTCTACCTCTTCCAGGGAGTGTATCTCAGAAAAGATTTCTTCCAATTCCCATCTCTTAGAAGACAGAGTCCTGAGACTTGGCGGGGGGGTTGCTTAAGGAGCCCAATCTGAGTGCAGAACTAGCCTTTTTTAAAAAACAATGAAAATTATTTAATTTTTATTTGAAAGGTTGTACTGGAGCATCATCACAACTTTTGGATAATAGGAGCAACTCAGGAGACTGAGGCAGGAAGTTTACAGGTTCAAGCCCAGCCCAAGCAACTTAATGACCTAGAGAGTTCCTATCTCAAAATTAAAAAAAAAAAAAAAAA